GGCTGTGTAAAGAACACAATCCCTCCACTTGTATAAGGAACGAAATTATTCGTAGGAACAATCGGAGTTACTGTGGAAAAAACAGTTGTCGAAGAAACGTAGTGTTGTTGAGCTGACATTAAAGGGGCAGCAACAGCTGGTCTCCACAAATTACTATACGAATTATAGTGGTCACTTGAAAAGTTATAACTACTAACGGGAACACCCATATGTTGTTGTGATGGGATTACAGGTGCTTGGTAGCCAGCTACTACTGATCCTGTAGTTTGATGACTTAAAGAAACCTGATTAATCGCTGTTGATGCAGGAACAAACGGTGCTACATCAGAAGGAACTTCTGCAGATGTTGGTGGAGCAAAATAATTTCAGAAGTTACCGGGACTACTGAACCTGTGTTTGGATTGCCTAGCACCGGATGAGTGGACAGAAAAGTTTGCGGAGGCAAATTATTAGAAACAGGTTGAATGACCTGCTGTAACCCTACTGGATTGTTAACGGAAACCTGCGATCGGACCAAATTCGACAAATTATGTTGTTGTCCCTGAATGTGGTTACTGTAATACAATCCCGGATCACTAGAAGCTGCCTGGCCATTAATCACTCCTGTAAAACTTGATGAGACCAAGTAATTTGTTGATGCAGGATAAGTTGCCTCAGGAGCTGTTGAACGAACGTGCTGCTCTTGATTGGGAACTACAACAGCATCAGGTTGATTGTGGTCGACGGATTCGACCCAGTGACGCGTACGATCTTTTTCGTCTATTGTTAGTTGTGGAGAGATTCGAGTTAAACCACTTTCCTCAGCATTCTCGCTGATTTCCGACAACTCATCTTCTAACTCAAGCCCTTTCAACTCAATTTCTGCCAGTTTTTTCCTGTGTTCTTCAGCCAATTCTTCCAACTCTAAACTGCTTTGTTGTTCTAAAACATATTGTTTCATCTTGTTTTGCTGCTCTTTCAGTCTTAATGATACCTTTGCCTGCCTCTCAAGTTCCTCTTGTTGTTTCTTTAAAATCATTAAGTCGCGTTTTTTCTAAGACGGAGCGGCGGTATAACGACTAGATTTCTGAGAACCCGATTGATGATGTCGGCTGCTTCGGTGTGACACCTTAGAGCGGGTATCTGTTTTATGCGACTGGGGTTTTTCACTTTTTTCAGAATGATGAGAAACTTTTGAGCTGCTATTTATGCTGTCCGGCTCTGTTACTGCCTCAAAACTTGTTTTATATGTGATAGCTTCCTGTGAAACTTTATCGTTGCTTTGAGTCAACTTATGAAGCCACATATCCTGTGCCGGTATCAATTCGTAGAGATTAGCACTTTTTGCAGCCATATCAATCAACTCATTATTTATCTCGACCGCTTGTTCTATAATGTTCCTACATTTTTCTATATAGGTATCAATTTTTGAGCAACGACTCTGACTCTCTATGTATTCTAAAATTATTTCATGGCATTTATAAAGTTCGTTTTCGAGATTGCTACGTTTCTCAAACAACTTCTTAATTTTCTTCTGAAACTTAACTTCCATGCTTGATAATTTCAGAAATAAACTACTCTCAGAAAATACTTTATTTTCACTCAAGTAAATCCACAAAACACTCTAATACATCAATAACTTACAAGGGGGAGTAACTTGAAGTTTTAATGCTTTAGATCTGTTGTGAATCGCTCTACGATTTTTAGGCGACAAACGGTTCCGCTTCTTCTTAGCTTTCAGTGTACTTAATTCAGCACTGTATCGTCTAAGTAACAACAGAGTCTTCAACTCAAAGGAACCGGGCTGGTGCAGCTCTTTATACTTTTCGATAAGTGTTTGGTCTTTGGCCTTTTGCTTTTGAGATAAAATCCTCAACTATGTTAAGAACGAGAATACCAGTCTTTTACAACTCTTTTTCTATATTGTCCGTACCTGTGCAACGACAGTATACAATAGCGGTAATATTCTCCTTGTATCTCAAAAGAAGGCTCTTAAGTTGGCCAGTACTCAAACTACGGTTGTTGTTACTGCGGTGCTTACTAATGGAGTTATTTATGGCGTCGTGCCAAATAACTAGATTTTTCCGATTCGACAAAAAGTGGTGCAGATAGTATTGGATAGTTTTCTGCGAGTCCCTGGCGTTAAAGTTAAAGCTTAAACCGGGCTTTGTGAAACAAGTCTTTTTCACGCTTTTTTGAGACGGTGCGGATAGTATACGGAGCGCGTGATCCAAGGAACTAGCTCCTAGAATGAGTACCATACACTCAAGAGACTTATGCGACGGCTACGTTACGCTAAAGTACCAATGGGGTGGGGAAATTAAGTAGGTCGGTTGAACTCCAACAACGCACACGGAGTAAACCTGAGGATGAAAGAATTCAACTTAACTCACTTAATATCACCTTACTTGACCACTTAACATTAGTGTCGCGCAACGAAGTCAATAATCGGACGGGCTGAAACGGCTTAGATTTACTTGAAGCGTACTGGCTTTCAGTTTCACCAATGTGGGTGGGGGATCAGGCAAATTGGTTAAGTTCCAACAACACACGCGGAAAAAACCTGAGGATGAAACAACTCAACTTAATATGCCTGATATTTTGCTACCAGACAACTTAACATAAGGTTGGTGCCATCTTACCGCACAGTTTCGCAGAATTATGGGGACGTTTTGAAAAATTTTTGCAATTTTTTACTTTTTCCCAAAATTTTTCGGAAAATTTTGGTCAGCAGGTTCGAGTCGTAAACCAATCCAAAAAACTAGTCCAGTACCTTTTGTCTATGTTCCGTTTTTCTGGATTTTCAATCCGTTCACAATTACCCAAAAATTTGTGGTATCGGGAAAATTACCACTTGTAGCTTGCTTTGAGTTGGGATACACAATAAGACATTAACACATCGTACGTAATTTTATTGCAAGTTTGTAGAAATTAGAATAGTCTTACTGTTTTGGAGATTGGGCGGTCACCGGTTTCGGGTTGTCAGACTTTCGGTCAGTCGCAGAGAAATTGTTCGGCAATCACTTCTCCAACTTACACAAAAAGTCTGTAATTGACAGGGCACTCGACAATCGACAGTCAGAATACCTGTTTTAAGAAGTCTTCCATCTGTCCTTCATCTTTCTGCACTATAGAATATCTGCTAATTGAGATAGAATCGGGTCGGTCGGGCTTACACGCCTGAAGATTCTCCCCAGCTACGGATTCTGTGAATAACAGTTAAGAGATGCCAACAATTTAACAAGGTTATTTTCTATCGTAAGTTGGTTTGGTGTAGTAATTTGTGGGTTGACTTCGAATTTGAACTCGTATTGTTTGCTACGCAAGCAAAGCTCGTTTTCACTGCAAATTACGTTTCGAGTATTCGGGTTTGTCTTTTTCCTGTAAGTCTGTTAAACTGTTGTCGATATTCGATGACAGTTCGTGCTTAAAAATTAACAAACTTTACTTCTTTTGCAAGTGGGAAAAAAGAAACTGAGGTTTGATATCGTCCAACCGGCTTTTCGTACAACTGGCACTGGCACTGTTTAAGTTATGTAGCACAAACTCACCAAAACAGCGCCAACTGACAAATAATAAAGGGAGAGGAGCGTTGAAATGAGTAGGGATAAACAAGCTATCCTTTCGAGGTAAGTGATTTCATCTGGTCGTCAAATTCGGTTGCAGTTGTTTGTTGTAGACGTAGACGTTGTAGCTACTCACTGATGCCTCGTGTCCCTTGTGGGGCGCCAAAATGTGCGCCTAAATCTCCACGGATTGTAAAAACCGCGTTTCAAACAATTTAATTCGAGCATTTTATTGGCAAAATAACTCGGTAACAATGATACTCAATTTATCGCTAAGAATGATATTTTTAACAAACTTTTTTATTGTTAACATCGGTAACATCGGCCACAAAAAACTGCATAACTCAAATCAAGCTGCAAAAATGGCCAGTATTTGTCCTTGAGACAAATTGCTCTTTTTAAAGGTCAGCCTTAATCAAGGCTGAACCAAATTAGAGCGAAAAGACGGTTAAAATAGGTTTTGGGGGGATCGAACCTGGTTACGGAGCATCACATCAAGTTCGGTGCATATTCGAGTTCTAGAAAGGAAATGACCTAGTCGCGATTCGAACCGGCGCCGAACCCGCCGGGATGCACCATGTATACACTTGGCTGCTGTCCCTATATGCATTTATATTTTGGTTCAGTTTTATATGCATTTATACTATTGTTTTATATTTGCGCTGCAACAGTGTCTATTCTTTTTTGTCTTTTAGGGCCAAAAAAAAGTCTCAAATACAATAAATTTTGAGCAACTTTAACATTACGAGGCCAAACTGTGCACTGGATGGGCGAAAAAATTTTTTATGCCTTCATGTTCCTGGATTCCAGATGCAAGTCTTTAAGCCTGTTAAAATTTTGTTAGAATTATTGCAAATGAAAGGCAATAACAAAAGAATAACAAAGGGAGCGTCCTTGTTGCGAAATACGCCTAAAATTCACAAAAAGCACAGTTTGGTCTCCGTAACGAAGGCGCAATCAATTTTTTCTAAAAGCTCATAGATATCTTTTAAGTTTGTTGCCCCATGATGTATAATGATATTCAATCACTATTATTCATAAAAAACAGAGCTCTAAATAAAATAAGGGGTTTTAATTGAATTCTAAGTTTTAAAAAGTTAACAAAAAAAATGGACAAAAACTGTTCGCAAAAAACCGCGTCCATCAAAAAATCCTGTACACTCCTCTGGATTTAAAATAATTAATCATTCTTCATAATGATGTTAAGCCTTTGTATGGCAGTTAAATTGAAAACGTTTTTTTTTGTCAATGTTAATCTGGTGTCTGGTAGAGATTAAAAGCAACAAAAGCGGCTGTTGCATTTTTGCGAGTGAAAAATATCTCAATTTTCATAGCTTTTGTCTGTTTAATTATCTTTTTGCACAGATTCAAATATGCAGTTTTGATATTTAAGAACAATTCAGCTGGTTGTGTAATATAACATTGCATGATTAACTAAAAATTGACAATCAAAAATCAAAGCAATTTTTGTCGTATCTGTAATCAAGTTACCAACAAATCGGTATTAAAAACTTTTAAAGCTTTTTTTACTTGTAGTTTATAGCTTTATATTTCTCTGCTTTATGAACAAAGCTAACATGAAATTTTTGAGAATCAAGCAATGCCTGTTGCGCCGTAATCTGGCACTGAAAATCCTGTTTGTTTTTTCATTCATCATTGTATTCACGATAAACTCAAAAACATTTTTATTAAGTTTATACCAAGTTGCATCAACCAAACAAGATTTTATTTACCGTACCAAAGTAGCGAAAAGTTCTCTTTTGGATTTGCTTCAGTGGACGGACTTCAAAAGAAATGAAACTATGGTTGAAAAAAACTGTCAGAGTAATTTGGACATGAGTTTATGGGCGCCTGAAAAAAGTGCCAAAATTTGCTTGTTGCCCCTCCACAAAGACAAGGTGAATATATCAGTAATTTGAGACCTGAATTTTGTTTAGACCGAAATCCGTATGGTACCCCTACCCCCTTCTGGTATTTACTAAAGAATCTCCACCCCTATAAAAAACACAGTAAATTAGCACTATAGCTTGCATTGAGAATTCTGATTTTGCTGCATTCTGATTGGTCGAAGATTCGACTAATTTAATCTACTTGACAATCTCCCCCTTTCTTGAAAGGGGGAGAATTGTTAGGTTGAATCTTCCGTTTTCCAAAATTAGACTAATTGGAGTCCTAGATGGTTTGTTTTTTGACTTTTGTCTAACTTAAGTCAATTTCACAAAAAAAACAATCAACGTCACATTATAAGTCAAATTTAACATGATAGTTTATTCTGCAATAATTTAAAATTTTCTTTGATTTCTGCAGGGGCGGATATACGGGGGGGGGGGGTTCATGTTCATTTTCTTTCACGGATTCGACCCCCTGCTGACCCAAAGGGGTCCCCCTTAGTACTATTTCGAGATATCCATTTTTGGTACCGGACCCTAAAATTTTTCTAAAGGCGCCTTGGGCGCCAATATATACTAATTTTGAGGGGGGAGCGCGCTCCGAAAAAACACGATTTTTTGGTCAAAATTTTTCAAAAAGTGCCTAAAAACGCCTTTGGCCAAAGCAGAGTCTTTTTAGTGCTTTAGGAGAGCTCGGAAAATCAATATGATCGACCAAAAAAAAAGTCGACAAAATGTTCAAAGTTTTTTAGAGAATCAGCCCCCCTCGAGAAAATCCTAGATCCGCCCCTGGATTTCTCTTTTTGTTTTCTAGTTTCAAAGTTTCAAAATATTTTTTCTCGAGTATAAATTTTTAGCTTTCCTGAGACGAACCAGTTTCAAAATTTCCGCAATGATTTTTGTTTGTGTTTTTACGGTGCATTCCATCAGCATTCTTTTCAAAGGTTACGTATCAAAAAGTAAACAGACAATAAAGTCGAGTCGCCGTAAAGGGGTCTAGGACAACAAGCCGAAGGGACTTCAAGCCGAAATTAAAACTTTACAAGCACCTCAAAACACTATTTTATCATCTGTAAAGCGTTATTTTTCCAAAGTTTTGGCAAGTTTAGTCTATAATAAACGTTATTCATGACAATGCACCACTTGTGATTGGCATCCGTTAATAATATCAGCCGGTTTTTGAAATGCATAAATTAGAAACATGAAAAATGCCTTCAACCATGTTTTACTTTTCAATTTTCCGAAACATCATTTGGAGGCTTAAATTTTATGAAAACGCCAATAACTTGTGAAGAAAGATCATGAAATTCAGAATGAAAACAGCAGAAATATGCAAAATTTTCAAATTGTCATTGACCGTCGCAAAATTCGAACAAATTTTATATTTCAAGGGTTTCGTTATGAAAGAAGCAAAATATTGCTTCATTTAATTCATTTAAATTGAATGGCAGTTGCTTTTTTTTAAGAATTGACTTTCGGCTTATTTTTTTTCGGTCTTTCGCTCACAAGTTTTTTCGCTCATTCGGTCCTTCGCGCATGAGAATAGCCCCCGCCGTAAAGTAGACAAACCCTATATTAACCAATTAGACTCGAGAAAAAACGCAAGAAGTTAATCATTATCCTTGCTTACGTTTGTTTGCCTTGTCTCAATTTGATTGGTTAATATTTGTTCTTGTTTGTAGCACGTGAGTGGGTCTATCAACCGGACTGGCCAATGGGAGACGTTCATTCAGGAGCCTCTCTTTACTGACCTATTCGAACGACATCCAAAGGCTGCCTTCGTCGACATCGGAGGTCACGTTGGCACTTTCAGGTACACACATTTTAACACTAATGTCGGTATAAACTGCCTCTTTTTTTGCTATTTTCAAGTTTTAGATCAAAGAACTTATTTTAAAAATTTTGAAAATCATCCCCTTTTCGCAAAAAAGTTGTTTAGGGTCTCGGATCTTGTTAACTATTTTTCCCCCTATTTTTATTTTTTTAGAAATTCAACTTTGGCTGCCACATTTTATCTGTGGCAGCAATTTTCTGAAAATATATTTTCTAAACAATTTTCTGAAAATATATTTAATTAAGTTTTTTTAAGTAGATTTTATATAAATAGTGAGTAATACAAATAAGAACGCGCGAAAATGAAAACCCAATTAGTTTTTGACATTTTTGAAATGCATGTATACAGAAATGGTTGTCAAAAATAATACATCAACAGGGGGGAAATAGTTATCATGATCCAAAAGGAGGGGAAATAGTTAACAAGACCCAGAGTCACTGCCAAAATTGCGAGCGTTTTTTTTCAGTCCAGAATAGGTCAGAAATTTGAAAAATTCTCTGAGATTTGAAATGTGAAAGCATTTTTTTGGTCGGAAAATTGCCGATTTCTGTGCTTCATTCTCATAGCAACAAATTGTTTTACTTTCTAGTTTGTCAGCTGCTTTTCTGGGTCGTGATGTGTTCACATTTGAGCCCACGAAGGAGACCTTCAATTACCTGTTGCAATCAGTGCTTCTCAACTTACTCCAACATCGTGTGAGACTCTACCCTGTGGCTCTAATGGACAGACATTACAAGTGTGTACTGCCAATGACAGATTACTCCGAGGAAGATAATTTGGGGGGCACAAGAGTTGAAGCACAACAGCATTGTGGAAATAAGGTGAGCTTAGGATTATTGCAAAGCGAGTTGATATTTTAAAATTATCAAAAGTTATTTTTGTTTATTCAAATATTTAACAAAATGGATTCTTTCTTAGGTCAATCATTTTTCATTTTCCCCGAGCCAAAAAACACTAGAACCTTTCGGCTTGAACTTTTGGGTCACAAATTCTTGGAAAACAGTGCCATTTCGGGCAGTTTTTAGAAGGATTTGACCAAAAAATCAATTTTTGTCTGCCTTAACTTTATTAACTGCCTTAACTTTATTATTTTTTGCGGAATCGGAATGCTGTACTCAATTGATATGTCACCCGAGTTAAATAAAAATGCTAATCATAGAGTGTTTCTAATTCTGGAAAAATTCTAGTCCCGCGATAGCCATACAGCCGCATTCGTCAAGAAAATTGCACGTAAGTATTTTTTGATAAAAAAAACATTAGGGTTGGTCGGCCGAAAATTAAATAATACCAAAAGGGGGACCATTTGGTTGGTGAGGGGGTTGAATACCTGAAAAAAAAGCGTTCACCCCGCACAAATCTGTCCCTGTGACATGTCATGGGAGTCTAATACAGTGCTGATTTAAATTATCCGGACAAAACGAACAAAACTTGAATTTTCAAAAGCGTTTTTCTCAAATTGGGTTAAGATTAGACAAAAAGTGAAAATAACAAAAGTTGCTTAGAACTTCACCAGAATTAATATGGTGCTATTTTTTCTCCCAAATTCTCAACAAAAATTTTACCCCAAAAATGGGTCATTTTGGCTTTTTTCAATTAATCAAAAATTACGCTGAAACTACTTTGTTAAATGATAAGAAAATTATATCCCAGGAAGCCTCTTACACAGTTCAACAAAGTTTACGAAGGGTTAAATCTCCAAAAATTTGCGCAAAATTTTTAAAAATTATTTTTAAGCAAAAATTTTGGGTTTTATATAGTAAAAATCACATTTATTGACTATCAAGTGAAAACTTTTTCTCTTATACTGGTTTTTGAAGATTTAACCCTTCTTAAACTTTGTTGAACTGCGTAAGAGGCTTCCTGTGATATAATTTTCTTATCAATTAACAAAGTAGTTTCAGCGTAATTTTTGATTAATTGAAAAAAGCCAAAATGACCCATTTTTGGGGTAAAATTTTTGTTGAGAATTTGGGAGAAAAAATAGCACCATATTAATTCTGATGAAGTTCTAAGCAACTTTTGTTATCTTCACTTTTTGTCTAATTTTAATTCAATTTGAGAAAAACGCGTTTAAAAATTCAAGTTTTGTTCGTTTTGTCCGGATAATTTAAATCAGCACTGTATATATGATATGAATAAAATATGTTTTTTTGTTAAGGTTGACTCAAACTCCTTAAACTCAAACTATTTTTCAGCGTCTAGGGTTCGGCTCGCCTGCGTATTTTGCCCTTTTTGTCCAATTTTTTTTCAGAAAAGCAAAGATCTCAAAAATAGAACAGTGGTTTTTATTTTAGACATCAAGAGCTGCGACGCTAGACGATCTTCTACCAATTTTCCAGCGTCTTCACATCAAGGAAGCAATACTCAAAATCGACTGCGAAGGGTCCGAGACCAAAGTTATCAAAGGCGGCCTCAAGTTCCTATCAAGCATCAATGTTCCCTTCATTTCAATGGAAGTTCTGATATTGCAAAGATACCTGTACAAGGAAATTGATGCAAATGGAACCAGGCTTCAATTATTGGATATTATGCGTAGCCTAGGATACTTTCCGGTTCCCGTAGGAGGAGAGATTGTCGACTCTCTTTGGGAAATTGACTTCATAGATTGGCCTCATGATATAACATGGATGAAAAAAGGATAGCCAAACCACTTTTAAAATTTTAGTATGATCCTGCAGTTTTAACAATAAATTTTTCGATATTGAATATATTGTGTAGGAAAACTTTAACACAGATGCGAAGTTGAACTTCGCACCACTTGCGATACAAAACAAGGAAAGCCGCTAAGTCGGAAAAAAAATCAAAAAAGTTGAAAAAACAGAACTATTAAAATGAATAAGGCTAGTTTTGAAACAAACACAGGCCAAGACAATAGAATGTGAAATCAGCATCGGGAAAAACTTTACCAAGCGCCAAAAAAGCCAAAAACACTTTAGCAGAAATCATTTAAAACGAAAAAAATATCAACAGGACTTTAGATTTAAAAAAATTAGTAAGCCCTACTCACACTCAAAACAAACACACACAAAAAATTTTATTTTCTCGTCAAATGGAAAAAATTGAGGTCACTAAGCCAATATAATATAGGCCGAAACCTATTAGGCCGAAAGAAAAAATAAAGAAGCCGAATAAAATTTAAAAAAATATATTACGACTAAAAAATATTAAGTCCCCCTCTCATTTTCTTTGCCCGTCGAAAGACGCAAAATAAAGCCTATAAGACAGACCGAAACTCATGAACCGGAATGAAAAAAAAACGAAAGAGCCGCAAAAAATTCTTTTTGTCAAAAACTATCAAATTATATTAAGACTTTCGGCATTTTGTGCCATCCAGTGGGGAGCATAAAAATTATGTGTCGCCAAAAAATATTCAAAAATAGGTCACAAAGCCGATAAAATATAAGCGGAAATATAAACATCAGTGTTGAAATGACAATATACAGAGTGTGATACAGAAAGAAACTTAACTAAAACATATCTAAAACAGTAAAAATGCCTTTTTGCTGCTTGTTGCTTAACTTCTTACCGATAGAATAGTAATAAAATAACGAGTAATTGTTTTCGCATAAAAATTTTCTGAAAATGTAGAGATTTTTTAAAAATTTGAGTAAAAATAGAGTGCTTACTTTCAAAACTGAACACCATTTTATCGTAGAGAAATCGAATACCAAACAACAGGAAAATAGTTGACGAAAAATAAATAGTTCGTAGAAAGAAAACCTAATAAAAATAAAGTTAAGCCTGTGAAAAGACTTTCAGAACACAGTTTTTCGATATATCGATCAATGTAATGATGATTTCTATGGCTAATTTTCTATGATTTACAACTTGTTTTTGAAAAAGCAACGGACAACAGTTTTTATTTTTTAATTTTTGTTTCAGATTGTCAATCAAAGTTTCCTTTCCCACGAAGATTTGCGACTGTTTTTAGCGCAATGGGATCAGCAGGGAAAAAATTTCAAAGTCATTTAAACTAAAATAACTTACTTTCTGTGTCTGTAAAGTGTTTTTCGTTTTGAAACTTTAGCAAAGTAATTATAACTTCTTTGAAATTAAAAGTATAAAAAACGCTCTTATCCAAAAGAAAAATGCTCTGATTATTATAACAGCGACAATTATTCCGCCCTTTCTTTGAAATGCCTGCAGTAGTTTTTGAAACAAATCCACAGAAAATTGAAAAATTCAAAAATTGTGATCATTTGGGCTGCTAAATATTCCCATTAATACGTTTCTCATATAGTTTTTAAAGCAGTTGATTTTTTTCTATTCAAATTGAAATGAATCAAATCAATGCACAGGCTACGATTTAATAGAATTGAAAGTTTAAAAGTTTTTCGTCTATAAAACTGACAAAGTCATCAACAAATAATGTAAACCTCCGCTTACACGTGTTATCTGAACATAATATAAAGCCTTAATTATACTAAATTGGACAAATTAACAATTTTCAAACCCCCATAACTTAATAAAGAAAAATAGCATTTATATCAATCTCAAGACAACAACATCTTTCTGATGGTATAAAAATTCCGTTCGAAGATCTTAATTAACGAGTCAAAATTTGACTGAATAAAAAAACAACTGCAATTTTACACCATCCGCACTTTCTTCACTTTTTTTATTCAACAAATAGTCATTCAGCAAATGTATCAACAGATACATCTTTTATGAAATCAATCTATTGAAAAAAATTTTGAATGAAACGAATCAAAGAGTGATTCAGAACCTTGCGAACTATTAACTTTTTGTGGAACTGGTGGTTGTTTTCCTTTTTCCGCCACCTCGCACCAGCATCATTTTTATGGTGTAATTAGTCGTTTTACAGTGTAAAATTGGCAACTAAGTATGTTTGCCATAGCCTAATTAGTCCGCATGCCAATTGTTGTAGGGCCGGAGAATGTGAACAAACTTTTTTGTAAAAACTTGCAGGTAGGGGCAAAGGAAAAGAGCCGAAATGGTTTATAAGAACGTGTTTACGAAAACTTGTTCACAGAATGTTTTGATTTAAGAATGCCTTTTTTGGCTTTTTTCCTATTCCTTTTTTTCCTATTCTTTTTTCCCCCACCTCGCACCAGCATCATTTTTATGGTGTGACTAGTGGTTTTACAGTGGAAAATTGGCAACTAAGTATGTTTGCCATAGCGTAATTAGTTCGCATGCCAATTGTTGTAGGGCCGGACAATGTGAACAAACTTTTTTTTGTAAAAACTTGCAGGTGGGGGGCAAAGGAAAAGAGGCGAAATGGTTTATAAAAACGTGTTTACAAAAACTTGTTCACAGAATGCTTTGATTAAAGAATGCCTTTTATTGGCTTTTTTTCCTATTTTTCTTTCGTCTTAGTTGTTCTACGTGTTATTATCGCTAAATTCAAGATAATAAGATGCAAGGTATGACAACAAATGGGTTTACAATAGCTAAGTTGTTAACCATGCAAAGTTTTTTTTTCATTAAGACAGCAAAAAAGTATTTCTGAAATTTAATTGTCGGAGGGAGTGCAAAAAAGCCCTAGTATTTTACTAGAGTAATTAATAGTTTTCTCGGTTTTGTGAAAACTGCACAGAAGTTTATTTTGTAAAAAAACAGGTAGTTTTTGGTCAATTCCGTCTACCCCACCAACAACATGTGACTAGTAGTTATTCCCTTTTTAAAAAAATATATAAATTCTTTAGTTTAGTTAAGGCAATCACAATGAAAAAATTATTTCTCAGACACATTGAAAAAAAAAACACTTAAAAAAGAAACCGCATATACAAAATTCAAACTAAATGAGCTGCTACTTAAAAAATACAAACAAATTATCATATCAAAACTAGCCAACATAAAGAAACAATCAGAAAAAGCGTAACCTGGCGCACCAGGGATTAACCGTACAACTCCCCTCAAATCAATTTAGGGGAGGGGATATGGATTTTTCAAATGCTAATTTTGAGTATAGAATAAGTTCGTTCAAAATTAACCGTTTTACTACAGAAAAAAGAATTTAAACATTAATTTGTGTAATTAACAACATACAAACGCAATCCCGTTTCAAAAATATGATAAACAATTTTATTAGCGCATATGTATGAAATGTCTATTTTATACAGAATCATTGTTCGGATTTATAACATGCTGTGGCAGGGAACTCTACGGTAGGTCACTTAGGGAGGGGAGATTGTACGGTTGATCCTGAACCAGAAACTACTGTCGCCGAGACATGTCTTAATCAGTTGAAAGTTTTATTAATTGAAAATTCAAAAAGCACACAAAACACAGTTTTTTTCTGCTATATCGATCAATAGATTAATGAGTTCCAAAGCTCAACTTTTATCCTGTACTACTTGTTTTTGAAAAAAAAGCAAAACAAACAGTTTTCTTTTAAAGTTTATATTTCAGACTGCCAACCAAAACTTCCTTTGCCAGCAAAAATTGCGAATGTTTAAAGCGTAACTGGATCAGCGAAGGCTTTGGTCTGATTGAAACAATCAAATTTAACTTAAATTGATTTCAACTACAATAATTTATGTTCTGTTTCTGTAAAATAAGTTTCCTCTGAAGTTTGTGCGAGGTAATTTTAAGCACCGAGATTTTAAACTACTATTTGTTCTCGTATCATCAACAAAAGAGCTCGCATCAGGGCAAAAAGCTGATTGTTTTGAACTTCCTTCGTAGAATCTGCGGTCGTTTTTAAAACCAATCCACAAAATATGAAAACTATTGTCAATTAGCAGCTATAATTTTCCCAACACACAATATCAAGCTCAAAGTTATTGTTCCGACATTCGAAGAAAACGGGATATTTATGCTCGGTGTTTTTCCTTCAGTCATTTCCCCGATCGAAATAATAGTTTCCAACAAAATTTTTGTATACCTAATCAACTTCTTGTGTTCAAAATTAAAAAGATATTTCGCCTTCAATTATTTTTTGGAAAGTTCTGTGGGTTTGAAAAAAGCCAAAATGGCCATGTTCTGGACTGAATTATGCGCGGTTCGAAGAATTCGTTCACATTTCTGATAGCGTGAAGCAAAATATTTATGCGTGGCGAATTATCTCTCACAACAAAATCAGTTCAAATTGAATTGAGGCTAGCTAATTGGATTGGTCCCATTATATTTGTTCGACTCAACATTGCACTTTTTGATATTGTCAAAAATTTTTAGGTTTTCAATATTTTCTTTCCCAAAAACTATCAATATGAGTTAAGGGACAGTCGGAACCTTCAGGTATTGTATGCTTCTCGTACGAAAACAAAGGTTTTTTCGTAAGAAAACATGTGTTTTTTTTTATCACTACTGCGCACGCAAAGAGTAAATAATAAGCAAGTAATTAACGCCAATACATACATAGATTGATGTAGTAAAATTAGTATTTAGTTGGCTATGTATAGGGATCCACAATGGTTAAGATCTATGCTTCAAAAATCCCGAAAACTAAATAACAGATCAATTATTTTATAGATTTTGTTGAAACAACCGATTGATTTCTTGGTTTCAATATTTACAAGGGTTCTTAGTTACGTTTTCCAGTTTTCCAAAAATTCTGAAACAATCAACGGAGTGATATACATCAAACAAGGATTCCAAAAATTTTAAATCATTCTTTAGTGATTGCAGATTTCATTGAGACAATCAACTAGATGTTACGGATCAAACACATATCGGGGTTTTTAAAAACTTTTGGAGGTTTTCT